AGCGGATCCCACACACCCATGCGCCTTCTTCTCTTGGTGGTCCCTCCCTGAAGCTTGTATAGAATTCCGAGGAGTATAGAGCTTGCTGGAACTTGGGGGTGTGGGTGAGCAGGGCTACTTCTTGGTCCGTGCACTTGTATATACTCATTTTTCTCTCCTGGCTCCTTTATGGGAGGGGTGTGTTTTCCGGTGGGGAGCCCAACTTTGCATTGCTTCCTGCCTTCTCTCTGCAGTGCCCTGAGAACTGTCGTCACCCTCCTGCTCTGGGGGCAGCTGTTTGCAGTGGAAATTGGCAATGAGGCCACAGATATTGCAGGTAGGTGTTTGGGGAACCAAGTCCCCCCGCCCTGCTGCATTCCCCTTCAGTCCTATCAGATCTGTGTCCTTTTTGGGAAGTTTCACTCCTCACTTCTCCTCCTGATTGCTGTTGATTTCAGTACCATGAAGAACATGGGGATACCACCAGAAATGAGGGGAGAATGCCCTGTCCTTAGCTTGCAGTTGGGCTGGAGGAAGGCTGATGTGCACACAGCTTCCCGTCTGCAGCCTTTAGTGGTCTCTGAGCAATGTCTGAATAGTGACCTCTTCTTCCTGCTCTTTTTCTTTGCAGATGACGGCTGCCCAAAGCCCCCTGAGATTGCAAATGGCTACGTGGAACACTTGGTTCGCTATCAGTGTAAGACATTCTACAGACTGCGCTCTGAGGGAGACGGTAAGACCTGGATGAGGGTCTCCATCCTCCTCTCATCTGCCCCACCAGCCTCCCAGCATTCTCATGATGAATGGGACCATGAGTGACTAGCCAAAAAGTTTACATGCTGTGTTTGGAGTCAGGAGATTAAATGTCTTAATGAGGGTCTTGTCCCACGTAGCTATGGCCCACTGAACAAGTTCATCTTCTCGTGCCTCAAGTCTCTGCATTGCTAAGAGGAGGTGATGCCACATAGCTTATCTATCTTATTGTTGTTAAGTGCCACTGAGTTGATTCAAACCATGTATCAGGTTTCTGAAGCAGTAAATCTTTGAGGAAGCAGAAAGCTTCATCTTTCTCCAACAGAGCAACTTGTAGGCTCAAATTGTGGTTCTTGTGGTTTGCAGTCCAGTGCTTATCCTACAAACCCACTGCATTGTCTATCTTGCTGTTTGTTGTTCAATGTGTGGAGTTGGTTATGACTCATAGCGACCCTGTAGAGGATTTCTGAACAGTGGATGGTGGGTTTGAACCGTCACCTTTGAGTGCTTCTGTTACGGCACCACACCAGCACGTTGTCTTAGAGTCCTACTAAAGGAGATATGATCAAAGGATAAATGATGGTGCGCATGGGGGTAGGTAACCCTTACTTAGTGAGTCCTATGTTGCTGGGACTAGGTGTTTTACATTTATTTGCTCACTTAACAGCATCCCTATGACTAAATGCCCAAGCTCAGGTAACTAGTATGCAGTAGACAGAGACTTGATCCCATCCTAGCCTGTCCTGAATCACATTGACCACTGTTCTATCCTGCAAGGCTACCAGGTGTCCAAGAGCGTGGCGTCTAGTGTGGGGGCCTCCCTTTTCACCTTCTACTTGGCCCTTATCGTCTATTCCGTCTTTTTTTATTGCCCTTTTACAAATACCTGTTTCCCATGCTAGGTCCAGATCTAATATCTCTTTTGGCTCATGTTTTCCCTTTTCTTTCAGGACTGTACACTCTCAACAGTGAGAAGCAGTGGGTAAACAAGGCCATTGGGGAGACCCTTCCTGAATGTGAAGCAGGTAGGAATGCAGGGGCCTGGGAAACACACCAAGAGTAGGCGTGGCGGGTTCAGCTCTGCACAGACACCTAAGTACCAATATCGCAGAGGCAACACCCTCCTGACTGACTTCCCCAAAGCATGTAAGAGCCAAGATGGGGCATCAGGAAAACTACAGTGGTCCCAGAGAGTCAAGCAGTTGCATATGAGTCCCTGAGAGAATTCACAAAGGATTTAGTCTAAAGGGCACACTGGGGGACACTGTGCACACTCCTCCTCCAAGGACCAGGGAAAAGGAGTCAAAGGTCATACAAATCCTGAAGAAAAATCAAGGGAGGACATAACAAAACACTGTTACCTGGAAACTAAGACAGGAGGTCGGAGATGGGACTTCTGTTTCCTATTATGAAGAGGAACTGTTGGTGCACTTTCTTTCCCCTCTTGGAACACCTAGTGTGTGGCTCTGTCAACCTGCTCTACATTAATTATAATATCTATAAATCTGAGTTTTAAATACATCCCTCTGTATTCAAAACATTTTGCAGTTCCAAGTCCTTAAAACAATCTTCAAGGAATTGAGAGAATTCCTTTGTGTGAGAAATTCTGGTTACACATACAGTTCATC